GACGGCGCGAGAAGTATCCGTACTTGAGAGTCCTGTAATAATATTGAATTTTAATCATAAAATTCGTTTTTTAGTGCAGTTATAAGCTTATACCTACATTGAAATATGAAATTATTGGAACAGTTGATCAGGTTGAAATTTATTTGTGATGAACATATAATAAAATTATTCATGATATGCCTGCAACATTTGTTATAATTTCTAAAACTCTAAACAAATTTAATAAAACAGAATTACAGCTTATTTTGCATCGCTCAAGGTCAGATATACAGACAGCTGTAGCACGACTCGTTTCTTCGCACGTGTTTATCTTCATTAAAAATTTGACGTTTAAGTTTAAAACTACCTATGCTTAGTAAAACCTGCATTAATTTGAATTAAAAATTCTTAAATTAGGAGCCTTCCGGGTGGATATTAATCTAAGTCTACATATATTATAGAAAAATTTTTGGTATTAAAATTTTCGATTCATGCATGTATGGCAAAAAAATTGTACCGAAAGTGAATATATATAAGTAAAAAAATACTCATATATATATTCAAATAATGTCGAATCGTCCGATCCAGTTAAATCGTTTTAGCTTGGAAATTACGTGAAAAGTTAGAGGTCAGTACGAAAAATTTATTCCTTTGATTAGATAAATAAATGAGATATCCTGATTACAGTTCCACAAACAAATTAATCTCTATAGATAATATGGATATAAGGTTGGCCATATTTTGTTCTTATTGTTACAGAAACTCTTGTATTTATTTTTTTATCACACATTCAAACAAAATTGATTTAGAGTCAATCTTCAATTTTCTGAGTTTATGCTCCCGTCAAACGCAATTTGTTAAAAATACTTTTATGCAAAACAATCCCGTTGTTCTATAAAGAAAATCAGATCGGAATATTAATTTTTCGCTTACTATAGGTTGCATGCTCAGTGCAGCTCAAGCCCCGCAAATTATGGCCCCTTAATTCAGCATGGCCTATAATGTTATGAATATTTACAGGGGTTCTTCATTAGAGGTATGATAGTTTGGACGCCCAAGCCCCTAATAAGAATAGTTGATCTCGTGCCCCCTGACGTACGAAGCGTCAGATGAACGCTGCGATAACTTCGAAGTTTGGAACAATGTTGATCAATTAAGTGATAACCTTATACTTTTTTGATCACGATCAGCAATGAGGGAATTTATCATAATCATCAAGACATCTCTAGGTCTTGTATTTGGTATTCGCATCAGGTATGTAGAGGCGTTGGCTTTCAACGTCTTCCTGGAGACATTCATCCCCAGGCTGAAGGCTATAAGACCTTCTATAGGGACGCAGCTAAGACAAGATAGCCTGCATTTAAGATATGAATGCAGGAAAATCTGAATTCAACCTAAAATTAGAAATTATCTTTGTCTAAAGCACATTCTAACTAACTAAAGCAAATTCTAAAGTAAGATTTTAAGAATAAGCTTAGATTCCATCTGAGGATTCCATTTTCTCTAAAAAACAAACTTAGAAAAGACAAAATCCTTAATATAAGCTATTTTAGAACGGGATCTTCTCGACAACGAATCCAGAATCTTTCGATTTGCATGAAACTTAGTTCAAGTTAACGGCTCGAACTTGAGACACAAAAATCGAGTTGCTCCATTAAAGCTTATCAGGCCTTGCAAATCTTTGGATGATGCTTCACTGCATAATAATGGAAGAAAAGCGAATGACTTCCCCGATCTTTAGGGACGATGCTCAACGCATCTATGGCTCTTAGGCAGAGATTAGAGGACGTTTTCAACACGCATGCAATAGACTGGAACTTCAGAGTCTCATTTTTCTGTAAGTTCCAGACACGAACCTTGAGGGAGGCACGCATGGGCAATGACATTTTTTCTCAAGGATTATTTTCATATGGAGACCTTAGCATTGATGAAAAGTCACGTCAGTTTTCAGCATTGAAAAAGTTATTCATTGAAACATTTATTGCACGGTTTCGGATATAGCGTGCTGATTGAGTTTGATGTATATTGATTTAGACAAATTGAAGAGGAAGAAAAATACTCTAAAAATAAATTATCAAATTATAATTGACTTGTAAAACTCAATGCACCATATTTAATCTTTCTCAATTTTTGATTAATTTGATTTATGACTCAGCTTTGCAGAATAAATTACTTTGATTCTGTTGTACAGTCGTACTAAAAGCTATTGCATTTTACACATGCACCGAGTCTCATAATAACTAATTCCATAAAGACTATGTTCGTTAAAAACATTTGCATAATAACTAGTCACATCGGGACTAGTTACATAACATCTAATCTCGTTATAAACAATTCAAAACCAGTTAAGTAATGACCAGCCACTTAGCAATCAGTTATGTAAGTGAATAACTGCATAATGATGAGCTTTTTGACTGAATATTACAATAGAAGATAGTTTTACGCACATGTTTTTTGCACTTTACTGGTTTTACACAAATTGCTTTACGTTAAATAAATAGTGACATAGTTACTAGTAATATCCTAATTATTTTCGTTGTTGCCACTGTAATTATGCAATGATGCAATGCAATGCAGTGATGCAATGACTTAATTACTACATAACAACAACTGATGCAGATTTACAAGAAATCTAGCTACATGGTCACGACTAATATTATAACAAGTTTCCTGACGGCTAGTTAACTAATAAATAGTTAGTTATCAATAGTTATTAATGAATATTTCTATGATGAATAGTTAGACATAACTAGTTACATAACGCGTAGTTGCATAATGCCCAGTTACCAACATGTTGAATAGTTTCACGATGAATGCTTCCCTAATGACAAGCTAACTAATAACTACTCAATTAAAAGTAACATGATGACTAAGCAGTTTTAGGTTAGGCTGGAGCCTCCTTGATTTCGCACTACACGTCGAGCCTGTGCTATTGAATCACTGCACTCAGAAAGATGGACGGGCCATAATATCCAAATAGTGACACGTTCTGGACGTAGCATTGATATGCCCTTTTACCGCGAAAAACTGGGTCAGGATGACCATACAAGCACGAAAAAGTTCATCGATATTTGGACAAAGCCTCGCTAATTTCTCTGAGTGGACAAATGAGGCCAGGTTGACCACACAAGCACGAAAAAGTGCATCGCTATAATGACAAAGTCTGGTTTATTTCTCTGAGTGGACAAATGATCAGATAACCAAACAAGCACGAAAAAGTGCATCGATTTTTGGACAAAGCTTCGCTTATTTCTCTGAGTGGACAAATGAGGCCAGGTTGGAGCGGTTTTTACTGCCGCTGCCCCGTGGCAAGTGCAGCCGCTTTAGAGCCGCCACGACGTCTCATGCAAGTCCCGGCCTAACCGCCATTCTTGTTTATGATGTCAGGCTTGAGCAACTCGGTTTAAACCGTTCGATAAAATTCAAGGCTATAATTCAACCGCCTTCAAATGTGTCCTCGAGTTCGTACTTCAATTCGAGATCAAATAAATTTTTTTCGCGTATTCTAAACGATAATACTGCCTAAATTTTCAGCTTGTCTTTGAAGCCGATAACATAATCTTTAAATTTTATTATGCGCAAAAGTATCTTTTACGCTTTTAACATTTATCTTGAATTAACGATTGATAACATGACTAAAAAATTACCTTAGAAATTAAACGCCCAAAATTCACTCATCTATAACAATTGCCAAAATAACCTTAATTTTGGTTGAGAAATGGAGCTTGCTTGGACAACCAAGACGCGGGTGACTGCAACGCTGACCAAGTGGCTATCCTTAAATTAGGTGAACGACGCTTGTGGAGTAACGCTTTTATTTCATGTAAATGACGAATACACGAAATAAAATGTCATAGATGATCTAACAAAGAAGCGCATAAAATAGTTTTTAAATGATTTCCATCCGTAAGTGCGAATGATAGTCTTCTATATCTAACATTCATGGGTGGCAGCATACAGTATATAAAAAAATTGAGTGTCGGTGCGTGTTCAGTTGTTGAGTGTAGATAAGAACGAAGTTTGAAGTCATATTAATTACGATGCCTTTCTTTATAAAGAGCATCCATCTATGTGCGTTAAATTTATGGAAAAAAACACTTGTATAAAGTTATAATACAATGGAGACGCAAACTATTGATATTACAACAAATTACGCACACGATTGCTGAACGTTAAGTACTAAATCAACTGTGTCACTGGTATGCGTTTATGCCAAATTTGAATAAACGTCTTAAAAAGTATTCAAAAAATCAAAGATTTATTCAAATCGGGAAAAATATCTACAAAAGACTCATTCCGGTTGATATAACTAATAATAATATTTAACGCGAGCGATGAACTTCTATGATTACGAATCATATAGGCTAAGATAAACTAGAACTACACTCAACTAAGAATTTGCTCGATGAAAATTGAGCTAAACAGATTCCACATAAATGTTTGCATTCAAGTTAAAAGACTCTAAACTGAACTAAATCTTTAGTGTAAAGTAATAATAAGCATGACAGCGTTCACGCCATTGTTGCTATAATCTATATGATCGCTATCGTCGCTATAAGGCGATTATCGATTGATGATTCCTCGAATTTCGTCATCAGCTTCGTCGAAAACGTTCATCAAAAACTGCAGTGTCACTTACCATGTTATGTATACAACTGCAACACACTGAACAGTAAACACGGCCTATATGCAGCTGCAGGACACTGATCACAGCCTATATACAGCTGCAGGACGCTGAACATGGCCTATATGCAGCTGCAACACACTGAACACGGCCTATATGCAGCTGCAACACACTGAACACGGTCTATATAGGTATAGCTGCAGGACACGTACTGCGCACGGTATATGAACAATTGCAACACATTCATCACGGCCTATACATATACAACTGCAGCACAATAGACGTGATCTATAAACACAATTCTGACCTGAATAGGAACAAAAAAATATGCTCCAAGTTCATACAACCGGAAATATAACAATAATTTGAACTAAAATGATAAACAATTTAAACTTACCGAGGTAAATATAATGCAGTCAGTGTTGTCANCATCAGTGAGTGGGCAGATACGCGCACTCTGGTTCAGGCCATAACAATTCGCAAAAGGTTTAATTAAGTTGTAATGTCATCACAACTTCATGAATAAAAACTTTGTATTTAAGAAATCACTGCATTTTGGTTTCTTAGATACCATTTTCCAAAGAAAGATATTTGAAGAAAGGATCTCTGGTCATTTCTTAGGCATAAGAAAAAACGATTTTCGTTGCTGAAACCGATGGAATAAAACAAATTTTTTTTAAATTAAACGATTTTTGATCCAAAAAATGTAAATTATATTTCGTTTCTAAGGCATGAGAAAGAAATCAAAAAATATCATCGAAATAATGAATTTGCAGACGACGTATAAATCGTAAAGAGTCTAAAATTCGTTGCTGAAATCGATCTAACGAAACAAAATATCTTTAAAATAAAGTAAATATGGTGCTACTGAATGTGCTTCGTGACTCAATTCACACGCACAGCAAATAATCTATTAAATAAAATACCCATAACGTAGAATTCAACTGTAAAAAATATTTATTAACAAATTCAACAGCAAGTCATGCATCTCAGATGTTTTAAATTGTATAAAAACACGATAATTGTCGTACAAAACTATAATAATTGTACAATTCTAGTGTTTCAAATGTAATAAGATGCCACCACGTAGACGGTCTGATTTAGAGCGTCACCTCAAGCAGGGCTGAGTCCATGGGTGCCAAAATTATGCCCCATTGTTGTTCAGGAAACTTCAGCCCTCAGCTTGCCTTCATCGCCGTCACGCCATGATAAAGCTTGCAAAATGGCAACGATAAGACCATGGGATCAAATGGCGGAGGTTTGATCAGTTGTCATGCCACACAGTCGAGAATGCCATGCCAGCCACACAGTCGAGAATGTCATGCCACACAGTCAAGAATGCCATGCCATACAGTCGGGAATGCCATGCCACACAGTCGAGAATGCCATGCCACACAGTCGAAAATAACTAATTTAAGATGCTACCAAATTAAATTTTGGATCTGATTAAGGAAAAAATCAAGAATTCAAATTCATAATCATTATAAATCTTCTGATATTCCATTGAATGCTTCCGCTAATTATTAGCTAATTATTAATCTATATTTTTGTACATGCATCAATTCGAAACTCATTTACTGGTACTGAAAGCGGTTCGACGTACGTCGCGGTTCAACTGTCGCTAACGTGGTGATGCAAGAACGTGTTATTACAATTGATTTTCGGTGAAATTAACAAACCCTCCAGGCTGAACACATCTCGGTATACAATAACGTGTTTTTTTATTGAGTAACACCCCTTCTACCCTTCTAGGCTGAACACATCTGGAAATACACTAACGTGCCTTTTAAATTTATTTTAGAAGCAAGGAACACACCTCCCAGGCTGAATACATCTGGGGATACATTTGCGGGTTTTTAATTTTATTTTGGAAGCAAGTAATACACTTCCCAGGCTGAACATATCTGGGAATACACTTGCGTGTTTTTAAAACTGATTTTAGTTGCAAGTAACACACCTCCAGACTGAACACATCTGTGTATACACTTGCGTGTGTTTGTGTGAAGCCAGCGCAGCGCGGCGCTGCGTTAGGCGCTTGTTGTGTTGCTGACGCCCACGCTAGACCGCTTGCCTGCACTGTATCATTGACTTGCTATTACATCCAATATTATTATTAGATTTTTCAAAAACCATGTCAATCTACGATTTCAATTATTGCAAATGCACAATAAAATGTATTGATCATACTACGATAATTGAACTTGATTTAAATTCTGAACGTTTGTCGCAAAACTGTATCGGGATATGTACGTTAATTCTATACCTAAACTGAACTTCTACATTAAAAAATTGCAATGTGGATCCAGAAATGATCTTGATCCGTAAAACGATTTTTCTTCCTATGGACAGTTTAAATTCTTTTCACATTTCCCAGGTTTATGAATCCATTCACGTAATTCATCACATTTCCCAAGCCATTGCGAACGGTTAAGCAAATCTTTTGAGTTTGCCCGAGTCTCTGACAACGTTCAGCTACGTCGATGTAAACAAATTCAAGTGAAGTTCTGACAGAGGATTGATGAAGATCGAAAGGGGAGTGGCGGGGACATCTCGCCCCATATACGAGCCCCACGACACTGGGGCAGAGCTCCAGTGGAATGACAACGGCGGCGACGAGGATTGGGGGAAGGGGAGATGGAAGCAGACAGCCGCCCTTGCCTTTTACGTCACGCACAAACATCGTCGTCTGCAAAACAAAGATCCGCTCTCGGGCAGTCTCTGGTACGGGCGAGTACGGCGTCTTAGTATAACACTAATAACTGTGACAAATTAATGTTACTTCTAGTACAAATACTAATAATAATAATAGTAATCTGACAAGACTTCTTATGCTACTCCCACCACGCTAAAAATAATCTAGAGAAACTATATATACATACTACCACTGATAGTAATAACAATAATAATAAACTTTTGAAGCTACTTACGCTACTGACTGTCAAGAATTAAATTCACATGCATCGATTAAACTAATGCTACTAAATGTCTATAATTGAAATAAATGGAATCATTATCAATTACCGATGATCTTTTACCGATGCAGTTTTTCCACCATTTACCATTTGTAAGGCATGATAATAAGTTTTAGACTGAAGTTGCTCAACTAAATGTATTAATATTATTAATTTAATTATTAATTTTATTAATCATTATTAATGATGTAATATTATCAATATTAATAATAATAATATAATATTAGTAATAATAATAATGTTATTATTATTATCACTGTTATTAGTGGGGCCTATGTGAAACGCACCCCAGGTTTTTGCCCTATGTAAAAAAGCATTTCTGAAACGTTCGAAAACATTAACTGGTATTAATTCATTTTAATTTGATGGGTCTGAAATATTTTACTCTAATTGTTAATATACCTCTATATTAATTTATAAGTATATTATAATCTATAGCGTATGAAAAAAATTCCATTGCATGAATTAGCGCTAGAAAAGAAAGCAACAGAAAAATTGCGTTGGAGTCGGACGTCAGACGTGGATAGTTATTATGCAATATAAATGTTAGGCCGCTGCACATACAGACTTGAGTGTGCACTACCACCGTGCACTGCCGTGCCGAGTGCTGCACTACCGTGCCGAGTGCTGCACTGCCGTGCCGAGTGCTGCACTACCGTGCCGAGTGCTGCACTGCCGTGCCGAGTGCTGCACTGCCCCATTACTTACACCTGCTCGTGCGGTCGTGGGAACATAGGCCCCGGCGCTCCCACGGGAGTCACCCAAATTACGCAGCGGGGCGACGCCTCGGGAAATTCGCTCCTGATGAACTCGACTTGTGACCGCAATACTCGGAGTCATTCTCTGGTTGACAATTTAAGAGTTACTCGAAGTAAATGGGAAAAGTGATAATTCAAGGGTTACCCTGAGTAACTTTCAGCATAGTGGCAATGCAGAGTTTTTTTTAGACACTCCCTCAAGTTCATTTGTGAGTCCTATAAGTAGACCAGTAAAGTATCCTGGATACCAGCAGTATGATACATTGATACATAAAGAATTGATTTAAATCTTGGGTAAATGAGGAAATAAAAAATGAACTGATTCTAAAAAAGCTGTGGTTTGCCACTATGACTTTCAGAGAGACAACTCAAAGAGTTACTCGGAGTAGCTATGAAAAGTGACAACTCAAGAGTAACCCTGAGTAACTCTCAGAAAAACAACTCAAGAGATACTCGGAGTGACTCTCAGAGAGACAACTCAAGAGTTACCCGGAGTAGCTCTCAGAGAAATAACTCAAGAGTTACCCTGAGTAACTCTCAGAGATACAACTCAAGAGATATTCGGAGTAACTAAAAATAATGCCTGAAGAGTTACCCTGAGTAACTCTGACAGTGACAGCTCTGGAGAACTTCAAGATAACTATCACACATAAATAAAAAAGGTTACTCGCAGTAACGCTAAAGTATAACCCCAAAAGTTACCGTGCAGATTGGAAGTTAATATGAAAACATCCTGAAATCAAATGTCATTAGGAGCTATCATTTATTCAGTACGAAATTATCAATTTAAAATTATTTTATTTATTATTATTATTTAATTATTATTCTAAAATTTTATTATTTAATTTAAAAGTACGAAACAGTATCCCGGTATCGGTTACCTCGCACGAGGTATCACGAACCTAATTATAACAAAATTACACGCATCCTAAAAATGAAACGGAAGTTGCAGCAGCTATGAGGGCTGAGGCGGGGGTTGGGGTTCCTTGGGGTTAAAGGGCGAAGTGGCGTGGGGTTGAGAGGTCAATGGGGGTAAAGAAAGGGGTTAGGGAACAAGGGGGTTAGAGAGGGGGTAACACAGTGCAAGTCTCGTGCAGTCATGCGGCGCTGTTGATGATAGTCACGCTCCGTGCCTCCTGCGGCGATCGCGCCAGGCAATGTGTATTTTTGTTATATAATTTCTTCCTATCCTTTCTCTTCGTTTCCGTAGTTGCTTTATAATTTATAGCATTAGAGACGAGATAAATGTGATTAAATGAGGGATATAGGGAAATTGTTATACAATCTTTATATAATTTTTTTATGCTTGCCTGGTTCAAAAATCATTGAATACGGGACAGTAAAATCAGACTAATATTAAAGAATTTTTATTACTTCTCGATAAATCCACACACTTTAAATCCACAAAATTGAGATGATAAAAAAGCCTTTCATTTAACAAAAATTCAAAAATCAAATTAAAAAGCAAGAGAAAATTGTAAATAAAAGTGAAGACATTAAATTTAAATATGGTTATAGTTAATAATATGACAAAATAAATGTACCACACCTGAAATAAAATTATCACTCATTACTATAATTAATCACACATGATATACGCTTAATCACTACTAAACTATGATTAATCACTCCTGAATTATCAATAATTAACAAATTCGAGTCATGCGTCAATGATACAGAATAACAGCATTATTAATAATACGACT